TACAAGCACTACCTGCAAATTCATTAAGAATAGAGTTAAAAAGCGGCTCCACCACCATAGTTTCTATTACTTCCGGGACTTCAGTCAACATGGTCCTTCCAGAAATCATCAGTTGGAGTGAATATCCGCAGCCCATATATTTCTTCAAAGTTATCATAAAGCGATGGTCAAAGAATTCCGAGAAAAACGATTTCAAGGTTTTAGAATAAAAAGGAGATTAACATTATACTGAATTGCAACCAAAATCCCCCAAAAACAAAAAAAAGCTCCCAAGCAAGAATAGAACACGCCCCCATTCGAATTATATAAATACTATTCCTTCGCAAAATTAAGCATCTCCAACAACGACCACGACAAGAGAAAAAGCCATGATGTCAGAAGAGAAAACCACCAGACAACACAAATCCAGTCAATTGCCAATTTTATCAAAATTCCATGGAACTGAACGAGGAAATAATAACAGCGCCACCTTCGGACTTTAGGCTTCAGCAACCCTCTCCCCGCCGTTTGTTTGTTTGAGCCGGACATTAATATGGAAAATAACATTTGAATAAAATACAGTTTATGTATAAAAAAGGAATAAAATACAATGTGAGCAACGTATAGAAAGTCTCATTGTCAAAGAAAATTTCTGATTCATATATTTGGCCAACCAATATATAAGTGTGTTTATATGATTTCCAATTTTGTAGCTTGATCTCGTAGTGTTGGCCAAAAAAGCTTCATCTCGTAGTGACAAATGACAAAAGAATCTGACTGTCCCGAAAATCAAGGGTCTTTTGACTCTAGAAACGGTATAACGGATACAAACGGTAGTTACTTTTTTTAGTGGATAAAATAAAGTTCCTTAACCCTTTGCTCTTTTGACTTTTATGAATGTTCCTTTTCCCTCCCACCCTTTTCCTCAACTCGTTACCTAGTTCATTTGGTAAATCATTTTTTTCACCGAAATTAATTCTATGACACAATTCTAATTTTGAGAATATATTTGCCCAAAAGCTTTCATATGCTTATCATTTTTTATAATTAAAAGTGACAGTTAAATGTTCAAGATTTAAAATATATAAGACATTGTTTTATTTTAAATATTAAAAAAAATATACCTTAATTTTCCAAACAAATTTTTTTTCTTACATTGTTTTAATTTAAATATTAAAAAATATGGGTTAATTTTCCAAAAGAGGAAAAAAACTTTGGATCAGCCTTCAACTCAAGTTGGAGTGAAAACCTTTCGGGTTTATTTGTTCGGTCAAAGTTATGAGATTAGATGATCTTCTCTGAACTATACCACGACCACTACCATGATTACTATCACAACTACAACTACCACTACTACCACTAATAGCTTTATAGTTCCTTGGAAATATGGAAAAAATTAAATATTTTAAATAAAACATGTTATATCACGAAACATGCAATAAATTCTTATAATAAAGAGCAGCAGCGGTACTTTTCTCCTTGTTTTAACCTTGATCATTTTGTTTAGTTTAAAGTTTGCAAAACTCGGTTTGAACAAATATATGATTTGTTAAAAGTTTAATGTAACGTGATCCATGCTTCTACTTTATTTTTCAATTGATGGGGGTTGTTGATTTCTCTTGTCCCAGCGCTTCAATCTTAGCAAGTTAAATTGGCGAAGCCGTTCTTTGTTTTGCATTCACAACCGGGTGTATCGATTGGCTGCTACAAATGTGGCTTCCCTCATTAAAGTCCAACAGGAAAGCACGTTCAAGTTGCATTGAGGGGAACTGGCGCTTGAGAAAGAATTATGTTTGTGAAACATGCTTTAGGAGGAAGCCAAACATGCTAGATTAGGGAAATGCGTTTTGTAAACTTAACTTCGTTATTGAACTTGAGAACCTGCTTCAACCTTTGTTCCCCTGGTTATTGCAGGAATAAAAATCCAAACAAAAAACTACAGCAATCGAGTATTCAATATAGGAGGAAGGAGCAGAGTTATCCGACATTAATGTCTGAGCACCGGAAACACATGTCTTCACCACTTCCACCAACACAAAGTCTAAACCATCTTTTCTCGTCAGAGTTTGAGGAAGCGCCCGAAGCACGATTATCATTAGTCAATTTTTTCGTTCATGATGGGAAAAAAATACTGGAAATAACAGTAGATCGGAATCCGGGTTTGGAAGAAAGTCTTCGGGCCCGTTTCCACAGATACATTATTAGTACTTCTACATTGGTATCGTCGTTTGTCATAATATGGCCTGTGGCTTTGTGATTGCGTCTCTTCCTTGAGGAGAAGGAAGGACAGATAAACAGAATGATATCTTTCTTTAGGCCAATAATGAACAAAACAACATCCGTCACGCATAACTAACATAACTAAAAATTGTCCCCACAGCAACCTCTTGAAGTGAAAAATCATTTGTCTAGGGGGATGGGGATTCTAATCCGGTAATTCCCCCATTTTTCAAACCCCCCCCCCCAAAAAAAAAAAAAAACTCATTTGTCGAGAGTAACCCCGACACTTTCGAAACTTGGATAGATATGGTAAGAAAAGAACGAAGCTTGACCCAGATGTTTATCTAATACAAAATGAAATCATATGAAACTAGCAGTAGTTTGAGATAAAAACACTTTCTGACTGATCACTTATCTCTAATGCCTCAGCAAGGTAACTCTTTCCTGCAGCTGTCAGAGCCTTAAAGATTCCGATAGACTCTCTGCACACTCCCACAACTTTCTGTGTTCAATGTGAATAATTGGTCCAAGACTATGATCATGTGCTTTTAAAACAAATCATCCAACCGCTCCCCTCCCCCCTTTTGTTATTTGAAATTTCCGAATTGTTGAACGAAACATCCAAACGAAAAGTGTTGCTATCTAATCTTTCACAATTAATTTCCAAATTATTTTGAATATCCTACTCTTAAAATTTTGAAACGAAAAATAACCTCACCACTTTTAGTTTCTACAGCGACGCTATCTAGTTGAAATCCCAAAAACAACGCCCCAAATTTTTACCCAAAAAAAAAAAACTTACTCATGGTCGTAAGCCACCAGGCAATCTGTCGACTCCGGCAACCTCCACACCGGCACGTTTGACGGAGTCGAACAGCGGTAAGACCATCATTCGATAATGAACCGGCCGGGATTGCTCTTCAAGAACGTCAATTTCCACCGCGTTGACCCCAATTTCTTTGAGGCGGAACCCTAGCTTCTCGCCGACCCGAGAGGCGATCTTGGCGTCCCAAAAGTGATGGGATCTGGGAAAGCGATTGAGTTTGGCACGGTAATGGGCAACGAATTCTTGCTCGGAAGATGAAGCCATGGCTATGATGGATGATGTCGAAGTATTAGTGACCTGGGCTGTGATTTTCCGGCAAGATAGAACCAGCCGCAGAAAGTAGTTGTGGCGATAGCAGGTGGCGGCCATCTTCTGTGCCGAGGCATATCCTCAAGCCATCAAGGCTCAAGCACGCATTCGAGTTACGGGCTTCGCCTCCGGAGTCCGACCTCTGACAGACTGACACCCCCACTTTTTAATGGTCGGATCCCTGAAAGACCAGAATAAAAATAACAAACTTCAATCTTCTCGTTATCATTGCTTATGATCAATTTAGAATGTTGCACCTTTATTGAAATTGATAATATTATTGTGGTGGCAAACATGCAATATGTGCCAATTATAATAATTATTCCTTCCAATAAGCTTTACAAGGTAATGCAGATCTTTAACATAGAAATTAGGTTAGCTTTTAATTTAGTGTTTTATAAGACTCCGGTCTACTTTTTATTTATTTTGTTTTCAAGTAATTTTATAATAATTACATGTGTTAAAATAGTTATTATCAATTTATAATTCAAACACATATGTTTAATAAGGATATTTTAGAAAATATAACATCTATTTACTATAAATAACTAATTTAATTAACTTGTTTAATCTCTCTAAAATAATCAGCTGCCTTATATCAAGGACAAAAAAATACTAAACAACATTGATAATTGGATACATTCCCTATTTTAGAAAAAAGTGTATATTTTTAAAATAAAAAATCTTTATAATAATTTTTAGACTAAAGTATATATTTGGTTCTTTAACTTTATGTAAGGTTTCAGTTTAATCCCTTAATTTTAAAAAATATACTTTTAGTTATTTAACTCTAAAATTATTAATATTAAATGATATTTTTTGTAACAATCATAATTATTTTGAAAATTAAATTTAATATTATAACATTTGATAATGTTTTATTATCATTTAAAATTTTAATATCACTATTTTTTGTTGACGATTCTAGAGTTAGAGAACTAAAAGTTTACTTTTTAAAATTAAAAAATCAAATTAAAACTTTATGTAAAGCTAAAGAATCAAAAGTATGTTTTAGCTCAATTTTTTAAAAAAGAATAGTGTGTTTCCTATTGTAGTTTGCTGATTTCCATGTTTTTGTTGTTGGTTAAAAAAAACTAATAAAAGATTATTTTGAAAATATGATTTTGGATTTTGTCTGTTGGCATGATTTTTTTCTAATTTTTTAGCATGAAAAAATTGAAATCTGAATTAAAGAAACTTTTAAAATTTAAATTTTTAAATCATTCTTATTTACTACACTCTAATAATAATTGGTGATATTTAAAAAATAAATCCTAATATATTTTTATAATTATTTTTAATTTGAATTTAAATTTAAATTTAAATTTAAAATTTTTTTTTTTCCAGAAGCCGCTCTAAGGAAACCGAGGGAAACGGAAAAGCAAAATGTCCTCTTACAATTTCACCCTTCCGTCTTCAGTTATTATCATAGCAGGACCCAGCACAAGTGCTCGCGCCACCAGACATGGGCTTGATCCTGTTCGGACTTCGGAGTAGTAATCACATAAAAGAATCGCGGAGAGGCTGGGTGTAAGCGAACCTCGCTCAAGGAAGGCTGGGGACATTGCCATTCTGACACTCTTTTGAAATTAAAGTTCCGATTTTTATTTACAACTTCTGATTGTTCCGCATGGGAATCTCTACATCTTGGCTGCACTTGCCCTGGATACTGGTGCATATATTGATCTTTCAGTTCTCATTAAGAACTACTGCAATCAGGTAACCGAATTGGTATGATGTACTTGTTATGCGTTACTTTCTTTTTTGAAATAAAAAAGTTCTTTTTGCGATACTGAGAATCCAGAATGAGATGATAAGTTGCTCCTAATTTTCAAATGGACAATTTCTGAGATTTATGTATAAATTTTCAATTTGACAGTTTTTTATATCCAATTTGAAATCTTTATTCTTGGTCAAACCAAATTTCATGAATGTCATGGCGAAAAAAAAAAAGCTCATGATTTTGGAAATGATTGCAATGTCTTGGTGCTCGTGCAAATCTATTCGCATAGTTTTCTTTCTAATTATTTTAAATGTTGCTTTATTTTGAGATATCCTTGAGTACTTTTCAGATCTTCTGGGAAATGAATTTGATGAATTAGTTATGGGGAATTATTTTTATCTTAACCTTACTCTGCTCTTTCTTTACCTGCTCTGCATGTTAAATTATTGAGGGAGTCTGCTTCATAAACAGTGGAGATAAAAGGAGAACATACTGACTGTCTAATCTCTCATTTTTGTTGCATATTTGCCTTGAGTTGATTGTTATGCCTAGCTTGAATAGCTTTCCCCCCTCCCTCTTATGTAGCGGAGGCAAATTCCTTCCATGCTGATATCGTCCTCTTTTTTTAATGGTCTTGTTACAACCTAATGCGGTAGGAAGGATATTGGGTTTCAAGTCGTACGTCAATGCGAAACTACTGTCCAAGGACGATACCTTCTTTCTGACGACAACGGTGAGCTTTTCCTTCTGTGATCACATCGATCTCTATATGATATTATTTTGTTGCTGCGACAAGCATCATCAATATATCAAGCGAGTCCATTAAATTTCATGCATGATGATGTGTAAGGTTACTTATGAGTTATGGCCGATCCTTTTCCATTATGCACCAACTTTTTTCATAATTAGTGATATCATACACCACTAGACATGGAATTAGATGGTTGATGTGCATTGCGTGATCGTCTGTGTAGCCTTTTAATTTCTGCTAGCATGTCATGTTTGCTCATCTGCTGTCTTCTCCAAAAATATAGCATAACCAGATTTCAAATTGGGCTTCTTTACATGGTTCTGTGTTCAACAACATGAAACTCTTTACTTTTGTTTTAATGCATGCAAATTCCTGCAATCTTTGACTTATCTGGTTGATTATGTCTTTCACTTACCCTGACATAAACTGATTTTTTTTGCTTTTGTAGGTTATGTGTGTAATGCTCTATCTGTTGATTCACAGTCTCGTTGCTGCCCTGAAATTGGGGAGAAATTCTCTTGTCAGTGAGTTCTTCTCAAAACATTGCAAACTGCTTGCTTTCATGAGAATTTTCTATTAGCAGGGTGTCATTGGTATTATTTGCAGAGGATGCAATCTTCTTTCACAATGTTGCAACTCTTATGAATATTGCGTTTCATGCTGCTTGAATCCTGCACGGGTAATTCCTTACATGCTGCTCTCTTCCTGTCTTAGTTTCCTTTCTTTTGTTTTTGTTTTTGCCCTTTTTTTTTTTTGGCTCTCATTCCCTTATTGCAATTGGAGAAAGGAGTAAGTGTGGATAGATTTTGTTGAACAGACAAATAAGGAAGATGCATTGAAGGTGAAGATTGCGAAGCCAGCCTCTGCAAGTAAAGTTTCTATAACCTTTTCTTGAAAGAGCATTGGGGTGATTATCGCCCTGAGATACTTGCTTTGATGAGGGAGATATTTATTATAATAATGCTGCATACAGCCCTTGATAAGCATAAGCAATGAGGTTTTTTTTTTTTTCAGTTTTTAAGTCGTTGCTTGGCAATTCCCAATGTTCTTAGATGGCTATGATTCTTCTAAATCGTAGATGTGTGTGTGTGCGTGTAAAACACATTTACTCCCATTTGATAATTGGCAGGGGCTTATGCAAGTGTTTTTGACTACTGTGCTGGGAGATGCCGTCATAGTTCTGAGAGTGTGGTGAGTATGCTTCTGTGATCCTGCTATTGAGCTGTTGATGTATTCAAATCTTGAAGTTATATGTTGATTTCTTGTAACCCTATTATACGTTTTGTGAAGTATATGGTGCCTCTTTAGCAAGTTTGCGATGATGTGGACAAAACCTGTTTTGGTGACTTGTCCTTTTGACAAAAGCGCGTGAAGGCCCTACAACTAAGTCTAGTTTTGGGCATTCATAAGGAAAGAGTTTACTGTTTCCCGTCTGCATATACTTAACAAGCAGTTTCAGTAGTTTGTTATTCACAGTTAATTAAATTGTGTTGTCTGATATTTTCACAAATTGTAATTACTGAGGTATATAAACCTACTTTTGGACATGCATGCCTAAAGAAGTCAGAGAACGGTTATTAGTGTTCGAGGCATGTGGAAGAATAATAGGAATTTATATGTCTATGAAATTTTTAAGTGACTGAAGAATAACAAATGTCCTTTTTACAAACAGTCTGTCTGCTTCTTTTGCTTACCTTGTAGCTCAGATCTAATGAGGAAAAATGGAAATAATTTGATACTAAATGTTTTGATAGTGTCTGGCTTTATTTGAAGGAGATAGTTTCTGGCTGTCTCATATCAAAATCAAGTTCTTATATTTTTCAGGTTCATGAAAATGCCTATCTCAGTGACTTCCATCACTGTTTTCTTCTGCCATCAAATTCCTCCGGTAAGTCTGCAGAAGAATACTCCTCCGGTCCTAAATATAAGACCCTTATAGGAGTTTGTAATATTTTCCGGTGCCTTTTTGTTCTGTTAGGCTGCTTATATCTTGACCTACAAAGTTACAGATTTAGTTTTCACCCACAATTACCTAACATTAAACCTTTGGTATCCGCCAGTACAGAGAGACCCAGGATAAACATGAACTACAATATGGTTACAAATTGAGTTGGGTTATTAATAAATTCCTGGAGAAGTAAAAGCTTTCTATCCTTAAACTTTTTAGTTGGATTGTTCTTTGCAATTTACATTTGAATACACTGAATTTCCGTTTACATCACCTGTGCAATTGTTAGATTATTGCCTAAATTGGTTCCTAAGCCAAGTTGTAAAAAGGAAGTGGCTTAAATGAATGGTGCATTTGGTAGAGGAGCAAATTACGGGAAGAGAGGTGATGATTGGATTAGATAACATACCAAGACAAGGTCCACATCTTGATATATTGCTTGTTTTTCTCGTCCTCCATCCCTCTCATTTCTAGTTATACAAGCATTTACAAAGTGGGGTCTGTTAAGTGGAACTAGTTTGTTGCACCTTTTGGAGATGCGAGAGACAAAAATAAGTGTTCGGAAAAACTTTCAGAATTTCAATTAAGGAAGTCTTTTTTTGGCGTTTCTATTTTTGTAGATTCAATTTATATGCTGGTTTTGTGATGAAAGGCTTTTACTGTCTTGCTACAAATACATCATTTTGTGCATTTTACAGCTACATATATGTGTGTATTAAATGTTCTTTCTCCTCGTTTTAAAGCTGGAATAAATAGCATGCTCCCAGAGGCAAGATTGAATGGCATTAGTGTTGTTGTTGGAAGGTAACCTTTTCTTTTTTTGGGGTTCCATTCAGTTTAACTCTTTGCTGCTTCTTGTTGTAACTTCATATCGCTTGTTTGACAGGCAGGGTGAATCATGTGACTCAGTTTGCAAGTTAAGAGGGCAATCGTGTGTCGCAAATAAGCTAGTGGTGCTTAACCAATGTGACATGTAAGTGGAGCTGGAGCTTTATGTTTTACATTGTGTTGTGGATATATTTTGATGGCATTGTCTACCCTGTATTCTATTTCTACTGTGCCTGAGATGTCTAATGTCTAATGTAATTATACGAGACCATATTTACAATGATAAGAATTGTCAATTTTCAATTTTAAGTTTGACAAATTATCTCCAATCCCTTCTGTTGTTAATACCACCATGCCGTGGATGATGCATTGAGCAAAGAAGGAATGTCATACTAGCATTGAAATTGGAGATATTTGTTTGCTTTTCTTTTCATATCATGCTGTTATAGACTAGTCCTTTTTATTTTTTCCCCTGGCAGCATGCAGAAATATATGACTTGCAAGGGAGCTTGCTTAGCAAGTATAGGAACAGATCAACCTGCTGAAGTGGTTCATGATGCTCCAAAGCATTTGGTAATAATTGAATTATGCTCTGAAAATTTAGTGTTTTGAATTGGAATAATGCCTGATCTATGACAAGAGGCTAGTTAGGTTGCAGAAACAGACAGGAACGGTACACTCAGATAATTATATGTTTATATAACATAGGTTGAAGTGTTATGGTCCTGTACCTCCTGTTGTCATAAAATGCATATGTTACAATTTACTAAAAGAGGTGATTGATGGATTATTCCGAGAATTTCCATGGCTTTGTGGACCTTGAACCCTACTATTTCGTTGTTTCATCAGTAATTTCTGGGTTTGGTCGTCCATGTGACAAAACGTAAATTGTTTCAAGATTCGGAAAACAAGGCGGAAGTTATATCAAGTGAGATGAACTATATTAATCAATAGTTGTTTCCTGTTATTTTCAGAATCCAGGATCATGTTTGTACACTCAAGCACAATCAACGCTTTCTTGTGATGGTGCGCATCAGCATACAAGGAGACTGTGCCCCTGTGCATAGTGTAAGCACCTGGCAAGTCATTGGAACTCCTGCAATTTAACCAAGTTTTGTTCAAAAAACTCTCATCACTATGAACGGCAAAAACTGCATGAATAGTACAGGAGCTATGAGCTATAAAATTCTTTCGTACTGGAAACTATGGTCAAAGCACGCATGGCTTACATTGTTTTCCTCTTTTCTTTTGTCAAGACCGGGTAGTCAGGCATGCTATACATTTGAGAGAAAATTTCCAACTCTACATGTTCTGCAATAAAATTTATCTCTTTGCTGTTTATTGCAGGGCTGGAGGAGTTCGCATCCGGTTTCTGCCATGGGTCTTGTAAACTACAACTACATTGATCAAAAACCGCCCATGCTGTCAGCTATGATGAAATTTTTTTTATCTTCTCTTCAGCGATAGTTCTGGGGGCTGTTATTTTAGGTTTTTAACGGGTGGAAAAGAAATACAACAGCAGGGTAGATGGTCAATGTATCTATAATCTGTTTTGTAAATCATTATCTGGTTGAAGTTGCATCTGACCCATTCGTGAACCTTTCAACATGGCAAAACATTTTAAATGGATGGGATATATATTATTTTCAGACCTTTGGCTATGTTCACTTGTCAATCAGATTGAGACAGGATTACAGGAAACGGAAGGCCCGGGTCTTGATGTTACCACCAAAGGAAGTAACTCAGTACGTCAGTGTTGCTCTTAAATAGGGTTGGAAAGAAGCCCATTTATGGATCATGACTGAATTGCATATTGAAACACAAGGGATTCATGAACAAAAGTCGGAGCCAAAATTAAGATACGAGAGAGATCTGCGGATCCCCACCTTGTCCTGGCACTCATCGCCCTATCATCGGTAACGTAGGGTTCAAGAGCAACACAGTTAGCATCCGTTATAATCGCAACTGTAATAAAAACAAGAAGGCAGGCTTCGCCTTTGTACGTTCATTTGCACATTGAATAATACCCTGTCTCATTATAGATTCGCGCCTTGTGTTTCCACTTTCACCACTAGACTCCTCTATAAAAGGAGAAAAAAAGATATCGATGCCTCTCTTCGCCATTGATGCCTTTCGATAATGGAGGAAGATAGGCATTTTTGAATAATGAAGACAGAAGAGGGGGAAAAAACAGAAAAGGTACAATACAATCTAGCAACAGCTTTCATTAATAAATTAATTGATATGGATACCCAAGTTCTATTAATTTAATTTGTGTGTACTTAGCGGGTGTATGGTGACCGGTATAGCTCTCCTCATAACTAATCAGAAGCTATAATCTGGTTTGAAGATTCTCTTAGTGAATGGCTTCGACACAGCCTCCTTATCCTTGACTCCACTGGGTGACCCTTTATCGCTTGCTGTGTCCTCAACGTCATCTTCCTCCTCTGCAGCACTGAAGGCTGGATGGCCGAGAATGCTGCCAAGCAACTGTATCCCTCTCAAGGCATTGGTGAGAGGCAAGTGACCCTCAGGGGTGTCATCATTGAGTTCCCAAATGAACTCAGTGGGAAAAGACCTGTAATTGTATTGTTCCACCTCCGTGTTGAGCTTCTTCATCCAACCAACCTTGAGGAAAAACTTGGTGAAGTCCCTCTCTGTTTTCTCAAATATCCTCTTCTGCACGCTGTACCCGAACTTGTTATCGCTGTATTGCCTCCAGAGTGCATCTATGGTTTTGAGTTCAGTTTCAGAGATAAATTGGACCTCAGAGAAGAAGATGTAGCCGCGCTTCTGAGCAGCGTCGCCGGCGAGAACGATGAGGAGGCGGCGAGTCTCTTCGTCGGCTTGGCGGAAGTCACCGGCTGCGAGGTGGAGACGGAGTTGGTCGAAGGAGAGGGGTTGAGTGGTGGAAGTGGAGGAAGAGGTGACGGGGGAGAGAGAGAAGGCGATAGTGGTGGTGGTGGAAGAAGAGGAGAGAGAGGCAGAGGAGTTGAAGGTGATGGTTTTGGGGAAGAGCGGGGAAGAGAGAATGGAAGAGGAATGGTGGCGGTGGGGAAGATTATGGTGGTGGTGGTGACGGTGGCGGATGGAGTGGAGAGAGTTAGTGGAAGCCATTAGACGAGAAGAGAGACGGAGTTGGGGAGTGAAAAGAGGAAATTTTGATGGGGGTATGGAGGATGGAGTGAGATTGTGAGAGAGATAAGGAACATGTGAAGAGGAGGAGGAAAAAAGGCTCATCAAAAGCAATATAATACGAGTTTTTCATTGGCTCCCTCCGGGTGAGGTTTGATCACTACCCCCACCCTATCTCCCTCTCTCCCTGTCCCTTTCGCCATTGTTAAATCACTAGTTTTATTTTCTTCCTCTTTTTTGGTTTGCTACAGAATTCAACTGAAACCGAAACTTATTAGTAATGGACAACAAAATAAATTCATAATAACGATAATTCGATACCTGCTTCCTCTTCTTTTTTTAATAAAAGTGACAAGAAAAACTTGAACTAGAGACAAACCAAGACACTCCTACTGATATCTTCTTTAAAAAGTAAGTCAATTACTCTCTCATCTGCCCTTTTTGGTCAAAACATTCAAACCAAGTGAACTGAACCCATGCTCTCTTTTTTACATAGAAAGAAAAAAGACAAGGGAAAATTACACTTAGGTCCCACAGAGTACAATTAATATCAAAAAGGTCTCACGAAATCGCGAAATGATTCTGAAGTCCCCAGGGACCTGTGTGTAATTAATTCTAATTGTGAAATTACCTACTTACCCCTGTTAATTTTATTACAACAATTCGTTTACAATCTCAACAGTGGCTGTTAACAACCCGAGAAGACGTGATTGACAACCTCGGCAGTGCTCATGACAACTCACTCTATGGAATGCCAGGGGTGTTGTTGAGGTTGTTAACTACCTCTTCTCGGGTTGTTAACAGCCACTGTTGATGTTGTAAATAGGTTCTAATTTTATTGCAGCAATTCGTTTACAATCTCAACAGTGGCTGTTAACAACCCGAGAAGACGTGATTGACAACCCCGGCAGTGCTCATGACAACTCACTCTGTGGAATGCCAAGGGCGTTGTTGAGGTTGTTAACCACCTCTTCTCGGGTTGTTAACAGCCACTGTTGAGGTTGTAAATAGGTTCAAATTAACAGGGGTAACTACGTAATTTCACAATTAGAATTAATTACACACAGGTCCCTAGGGACTTCAGAATCATTTCGCGATTTCAAGGGACCTTTTTGATATTAATTGTGCTATGTGGGACCTGAGTGTAATTTTCCCAAAAGACAAAATGGGCCAAATTAGTTTATATCTGTCTATTGAGTAATATTTCTGTTGGAATTCAAAAAAAAAAAGACAAAAGAGATATACTTTCTTAGCAAGACAGTCCACTTCCACGTTATGGTTTCTCCTCAAATGAAACAAATGCACCTCTCAGTCCTTTTGGAAAACTTGTTTGATTTCTTGGATGATATCTCCACCCTATCGGCACGAATATCAGAATTAGAGGCAGCAATAAGAGAAGATCATGTAAGCAATCACTTTGAAGCCAAAACATAGAGCTTCGGCTCAATCACGCCGCAACAAAATATTATCGTCACTGTTTTGATAAAATGCATCCGCGTTTAAGAGCGTTAATCCCATGTCTTTTTCTTGTTACGTGACCGCATGGTTTTTTATCTTCCTCCCATTTTTCGCGGTTGATATGAGATAGTGCAAAGCCGTTCAATCCAAACATCAAAATCGCAGTCACTTTGGTGTCAATTATAAATATGGATGATGACTTCAATCTGCCTACCAAATTGTCAAAAACGTATTCACCCTCAAACTGTTGCACATGATCTTACTACACGAGAAAATTTCCAAATACTCAATTTAACGTAGCGTGGCAATACAGTGGAACCGTCCATGGCTTTACTTGACCACCACGTTTTTACAGCGTCTCATCCAATGATCTGTATAAATGAAACGTAATTGAGAATGAAACACAGAAACCAGATACACACGATGGATTTGCTTCGCCAGTGAGAATTGATACTCAAATTAATCTCAGAAGTTGTGCTGCAAAAACAGCCTCTCCTGAGGAGAAGCAGGTCCAATCTCTTCCTCTAGACTCCTCAAAACGTCGCCACCACCCACGTTCCCCAAGTTCTTCACTTCTGCATTTTTCCCATCCACATCCCCCTCTGACACCGACGATTTCCTTCTCTGAGAAGAAGTAACACTTGGAAAAGTGATCCACGACGGTGCTCTGAACTCGAATCCTTGATCCTCAGCTTCCCCCACGTCCGTTTCTGAAGTTGACTTGTTGGAAGATCTTTGAGACGATTTCTTGTGTAATCTGTTACTCCCCAGCACCACTTCGGTGGGCAAAATTGGCTGCTCGTTGCTTGGACTTCCCATTAGTTGTGCAAGAGCTCGCTCCAAAGTAGTTGTCACTTTGTCCATTGATGGCCTCTCTTTCCCTCTCATCCTCACGCATTTACAGGCCACGTTTGCAATCCTTTTCAAGGCTTCGAGATCAGGAGGAGGTTTTAGAACTGGGTCTAAAATTGCCGTGATGTCTCCCGCCTTAATCAACGGCACGGCCCATTCAACTATGTTACCTTCTTCGTATTGCATGTCAATGGCTTTTCTGCCGCTCAGAATTTCCAAGAGCAGCACGCCAAAGCTATATACATCAGATTTCGTGGTAAGATAATGAAGTCTGTAATATTCAGGATCAAGATAGCCAAGCGTTCCCGCAGGTAGTTCAGCCAAGGGGGAGCTGCTATCAGCTGGACCCAGTAATGACAAGCCAAAATCAGAAACTCTGGCATTGTGTTCTTCATCAATGAGGATATTTGAAGATTTGATGTCTCTGTGGATCACAGGTGGGCAGGCATAGCCATGCAAATATTCAATTCCTCTAGCTGCTTGAACTGCAATTGTTACTCTTCTAACCCAATCCAACTGTTCTTTGGAGGCCTTGTTTTTCCCATGGAGATGTTGGTGCAAGGAGCCATGCGCCATGAACTCATAAACAAGAAGCCTTTCTCCGCCTTCTTCACAATACCCTAGCAGGTTGAGTAAATGGGCATGGTTCAACCTGGAAAGTAAGTCAAGTTCTGTATGAAACTCTTTGGAATTCTTTTGCATGTTGGGAGACATTATGGCCCTTTTAACTGCTACGACAGTCCCATCTTTTAACACTCCTTTGAATACACACGAAAAGCTTCCTTTACCAACTATGGATTCTTCTTTGAACCCGCCTGTTGCTCTTTCAAGTTCCTCATAGTTAAATGTTTGAGCCCTCCTGATTTTGAGCTCCTCTAAGTCTGGACTGATTTTGCTGTTCTCTTTTTGGAGGGAAGAGTTGCTACCATGAAGTTTCTTCACGTTTGATCCTTCTATGGAACACCTACAACCTCGTAGCTTGTAGCGAACATATAAAACAGAAATTAAGGTCACAAGACTAACAAAGAAGACAGCAAAAGCAATCTCAGCGATCATCACCGGCAATTGCAAAGACCAAAATTTCTCATCTTTCTTCGCCATATTAGCATTGGAATCTGAAACAGAGCAATTGGAGAAGCATTCAAGGGAGGAACAACTAGAACAATTGTATTCACATTGTCTGTCAGATGTATAATTGCACTCACTTTTCTGATACATGTCAGCAGGACAAGCTCCACTGCATGGCATGCAAAAGCGAGAATCAGAGGACTTGCAAAGACCCTTTTGCTGTTCAATTTCATAGAAACCAGGAGGACATGGATTAGGCTGGCATTGCCCAGGAGAGACAGCTAATGGTAGAGAAGTAGGGAAGCCAACACCCAGCAAGAAGGAAGAAGAGATTTCTGAGCAAGTATTCCACACGTAAAATAGTTTCCAGCAGCAATCTCGAACACCTTAATCCCACTTGGAACTGGGGTACTTCCCTTGATAGTAAAACCCCAGCAAATCACCCCATGATCATTACTTTTGATACCACAAGCATGAAATCTTCCGCCCACAACAGAAAGCATAGGTTCATTTGGAGCCAAATCAACGTTGCCTTGACCAGAACGTTTCACCACAATTTCTTCCTCAATGCCCAAGCTCCTTCCCCAACAAATAGTTCTGGAATTCACCCCTTCTAAAATTCCACACACATGAAATCCACCTGCAGAAATTTTCTGGAACTTCTTATCTTTAGGAACTAAGCTGATTACTCTGCTACTAGTATCATCGCCCCAGCAGAAGACTGTTCTGTTCTGGGAAAATAAGCCACAGTTGAATTCAGAGCCTGCCGATATAGATTGAATCTGGCCATCAAAAACATGGTTCTGGGTCATGTTGTATCCCCAACAATCGACAAGAGAAATATTTCTCTGTCTTCCTGTCAAGGGTTTCCTTAATCCACAAACATGATAATCCCCAGCACTGATTTCTAGATACTCTGCTCCTTTCGTCATAGGTTGTGGAACACCCATTTCGATGTAGCCACTACTACCCCAACAGTAAGGTTGGAAAGTATCCATTAGGAGTCCACATACAAAGCCATCACCTGCGGTTAGACCCAAAAGTGGGAAATGGGTTGGTATTCCATAGACTACGGCTGAGTTTGATCCGTAACAGTTCACAGTATGAGACCCATCTGATCTCAGGCCGCAAAAGACAGAACCTTTTTCCCCGTAAGATATGGCAATGGAAGACATGGAACCCAGACCCGAAACAGACCAGCATGAACACGATAAAAAAACTGAAAGGGCAAAGAAAACCCGAGGTTGCCATGGGATCACATTCAAGAAGGAGATCAAGAAATGTCTTACTGAGAATCCCATGCTACGGAGCCACTCCTTTGTGTGAGAAAAGGTGGACCCTTCACCGACGGTATAGGCTGCTCAGTAAGAAACCCGGTTTAGGATGAAATCAAGGTGGAGAAAACTATGCTTCCCACTTCAGAGTCAAAAGAAAACGTACCATCAAAAAAGCTCCAGTAATTTCAACGATTCTGAAAAGAATAAAGAAACGGACATTATCCGGATCATAATTGGATCTCTATAAACATTCAGATTTTGTGAAGTGTTCATTAAGTTGCATGGTATGATGGTGAAGAGGTGAATTGATTGAAAGGAACTCAAAGAGAAAGATGGGTTGGAGAAGGTAGTTGTGGTTGCAGACCATTGCTGTTGCAGGCAAGAAAAGGGGGGGAGAGAGAAGGCATTAAATGGCAGAAACTGCTGTTTCTATGTATGGACAGAGCGTAGGTGTAGGCATTAAATGAGAAGTTAATGCAGTTTGATCATTTCATGCCGGATTACTGCACATTGAGCCACCACTCCCTAATTTTATTACTCTATATGCTGCGAAAGTGGCTCGGCACTACTTCCTGGGCTTCTCACTTCTCACTTCTCACTTCTCACACACGCCCCAACACAACACTTGCGTCCCTACTTCATTTTAAATTCTGCCTTGCTCCCTTGATCTTATAATCGTATTTTATTTCTGCTTTCCGAAGTTGGTGCAATGACGTTTTTTTCCGTTATATTCGTTCCAGCGCCACGTAAAAACGTTCTTCTTTTTTCAATCGTTCAATCGCTCGTCTCTGTATCTTTTCTCCTTATTGCATGCATCGTTCGGAGAAATATATTAGAAAATCAATGTCCTATATTCGGACGATGGACGTGGGATAATGATCCATGAACGTCCTAAATATTCACTGATTGACTAATGACACTTCACTGGCAGAGAGAAAGCAGGAACAAAAATAGCAACAGGAATCACATGTATTAAATGATAATTAACTGCATTTAGTATTGCCTTCACGATATGGTTAGCATCATGTCTCCCACTAGAGAGGGTGAAAGAAACTGCCGTTGCTTCATTAGTCTATAAAAGGCCATAGTTTCCTCATTCGGATCGAACCACAGAGTGAAGAAACCCACTCTTATCCACCATCTGATGTTGACAAATGGGTTAAATGGGGCTTTGAATTCTGGCGAAGGGGCCATTAAAAACCTCATTATATGCATCTGGGTCATAAGTTGTTTACTTGGAGTGATGCTCCACTAAATACGCAAGCTTCATGTTAGATCTTGGTTTACTGTTGATATTGATTGATGAGTGAATAACCTGGGGACAGTTAACACCATAACTTGAGGTTGCCCCTTGCCCCGCGAAACGGGAAAGGTGGCTTCTTCCTCCTCTGCGGTGAGGGGTTGAATCACTTGAATGTAGCTGCTTTTTCTTTCTCTGTTTTTTTATGTCTGATATGGTATAAATGTTTATACTACTAGGTATTTTGTTACTCCCTTCGTTGTGTAATATAAAAATTAGTTGACTAATTTAAATAAATTAAAAAATTTAGTTATTTGTAATAAATAAGTATGATTTTTTCTAAAATACCCATTAACTAAAGCTACTATTGATAAAACACTTAACACGTGTAACTGTTATAAAGATCATTTTAAAAAAATATATAAATATAATAAATAAAATATATTTAGATTTAATATTTAAGATCAAACTGAACGCTAAGAATAAAATACACTGCATTACAATGCTGAGGCACATGACTTGGGCGTGATGATCTGGAAATGCACATGCTTACGGGAGTTCTGTTCAATTACATTCATTCTGTGCTGCTCTATCCCATTGTCTGTGCCATATTTTCAGGATTTGTTTCCTTCTCTTCTCTTATTCTATGTTAGTCAACCGTGCTGCTTCTACTTTATTCCTCCGGTTGGGCCACGCACACCACACTTCTCTAATGCCGATTCCTCCGTCAATCTTGTCCTCATTTGTCCCAGAAAAAAAAAAAGTCAATTTTAGTGCCAAAAAGAGTCTTGGGGCCAACCAATTAACTATTCTGATTTTTTAAATAAGGATATTATTTGATTCATGAACAACGCATATTATTTTTAATTATCTGTGAACATTTTTTCCGTTTATAATGTTCCCTTCAGAGTCCCCGAATACTTCTTCGATGAGATCATTTTAACTTTAGTTGAAAAATTACTTGAGAAACGGGAGCTCCATCAGGGCATCGATTTAGGCCACGTGGCAAGTAGGGGTTCTCTTTTTTTGGGTCAGCTAAGTGAAGGCGTAAATAGTCCAAACCCCGTTGAATGAATAATGAGCCGGATTCACGAGTCGGCAAAAGTGTAAACGGTGAAGAAAGCAAAGAGGAGATTGCAGCGCACACTAAGTAAGTCGTAAATTCAGCTCAGTGATTGGGAATTCTTTCTAGCAAGAACAAAGGAGACTCAAGATTTGTGAATTACATCTCGAAACAGTTATCCTGCTTGGGCTTCGGTATGGAAATATGCCCCAAGTATACAGATAGTGAGAGCATCAAACATTGAATCTAGAACAATGTGGAATTCAGTGCAATGACGAATGAAGAAAAACAATATGAGAGCAGGGGTAGGCCAGATTTGAAGAAAAGAAATAGGAGGTGCTTGCGAAGACTGAATTGCAGTAGCAACTTGATCTGTACATTGAAAGACCGTAAGAGGGTGATGTAAATGAGGAAAGGACGTAAATTTGAATATTTGATAACGATACAGAGCGAGGTGGCCTGTACACGTGAGAAAGCAGAACATATATCATTTATCAATGGGGAAGGGAGCGTGAGCAAGGCACTGTGGGTTGGACAAGGTGAGGGCGACGTTGATGGCCGTCAGTGCATTTTGCTCCACCTGAGACGCCAACAACCCCTCTCCCGGCGCAGCAAATACCAACGGTCACCGCAGCACCGCAGCACAGCACACGGGGGTTTGCACTTGGACGTCGGGGCGTTCCAAAAGCTGGACACCGACAGCAATAGCATCTCTCGGGGGTCATCTCATTGTCAATTATGACTTCGGCCACTTTGGTAACTTACTCATAGGCCTTGGTACTCCCTCCTCTGCATCTTCAGTAAAAAACTAGAAAGTCTAGTAAAGCTATCTGTTTCACAAGATCTCTGTATATTTTGAAAATAAAATACTATTGCATGATTTTTGTACAACGCAGGAGGATTTTGTATAATTCTGCTCAAAATCTATATGAACACAAGCAGAAATTTGGCAACAGAATAGCTAAGGCTGCAGGACGAAGCCAGAAGGACAAGAAGATCAAAAATTGTGAGAGGAATACAAGCTTTTTGTATAAATTTTCTGATCTATGTGTGCTTCAAACATGAGTTAAATTCTATAGTGACCATGACCCATCTAAGCAAATAGACTGGTGGCTGATTTAGGAGGAGCAACACTGGAATGAGAGACGCATATCTCAAGTCCATCTTACAACCTGAATACAAATAGAAGCTCAATTTCATGAATTATTTATCTCACTTATGCACGTGCTCATTATGTCCACGTGCTTCTCGAAACCGGGATGGGGTCAGTGGTACCTGCTGAAAGCCATTTTCCCACTGCGTAAACAGCAGGTTACTACTCTCAGAAGTCAGGAAACAATGCCATCATATGCGGCCGCAGGCTCCTTATGAACTCACTGGAAAGGAAAACAAAACTTGAGACAAAAAAGTCATCAAGCAAAACAATTTTAATTATTTTGCCCGTAAATAACATGGACACGCTTGTGTGGGTAAGAGTGCAAGTGAACAAGATAGCTTTTCCCAGTTCACTAGAAAAGTCGTCAACCTATCAGAACAGTTAACAATCAAAAAACACAACAGTTCTTAAAGGCAAATCTACATTGGGAATTTTAAGAAGCAAAGCACAGTAACAATTTTGGAGGCACAACAAAATTATTTGAATTTGATGCATTTTTCTCACCATTATTAAAGAAAATGAACACTGATATTAAACTGAATGTACTCTTGTTTACCAAAAAAATGAAGGTATTCTTTATTTTCAGGTTCTAGTTTCATTTCCTAAAACAATCTACTTTAATGCTGGAATCATACATTAAGAAAAGCTAAGGCCCCTTCCACTTGGAGAATAGCCGTATGGATCTTCTAGGTGCCTTCATGCTTCTTAATATCCTTGTAAAAGGTTCGGCACTGTAATCTTGAACATTGGAATCTTTCCGTTTCCTCTTTCTCTGAAGCTCCACTTTAGAATCTTGATCATCAGACACTAGACCAGACTTAAGTGGGTCATCAAACTGGGAACATCTGAAAGAATTACACAATCATAAGCTCCAGCGAATTCGTAAATGCCAAAATATCATTAGAAAACTTTGTTGAGATGAGGGATTACTCTGAACTCTCCCTTCCATTAACAGTCTTGTCGAACTCCTGTAAACGACAGTTGTTTCAAATATTAAACAAGTAAATTCACCAGAAAGAAGAAGACAAAGATCAGGCACTTCGTGAGCAACAAAACAACAAGCTTGCTGGTGATCACCGGACAAGAATGTTTGGTTTGCAAATATTTAAATAACTCTGTTCTTTTCCTTCCCAAAACACATGTCCAATCACCTCCTCCAACACAACATACACAAGCACGAAAAGTCAAAAGTTCGTTTCACAGCTTTTGGAGTAGACCAAGACAGTGGACCACTCAAAGAA